ACCTCCTTTTGCAGCCAAGAGAGGAGCGAGACAAGATGACCCAATGTCCCCGTATTTGTTCGTGCTGACAATGGAGTACTTGACTAGGCTGCTCAAACAACTGAAGGACAAGCCAGATTTCAATTTTCACCCAAAGTGTGAAAGATTGCAAATGGTCCAATTGAGCTTTGCATATGACTTGCTTTTGTTTTGCAGGGGTGATGCGATATCGGTGAGGATGTTAAATGAATGCTTCCAGCAGTTCTCAAAGGTCTCAGGACTTGTTGCAAATCCAACTAAAAGTTGTATCTATTTTGGGGGAGTATCACCAGAGATTCAGAAGGAGATCAAACATATCCTAGGTTTTTCTATGGGAACACTACCATTCAGGTACCTTGGAGTTCCTTTGAGCAATAAAAAGATTACAATGGGGTAGTGCCAACCTTTACTAGACAGAATGCTAGGAAGGATAACTAGCTGGACAACCAAGTTTTTGTCATATGCAGGGAGACTACAGCTTATCAAAAGTGTATTAATAGCTGTTCAATCATTCTGGGCCCAAGTATTTCCAATCCCTAAAACAGTGTTACAAAGAATTGAAACTATTTGCAAAAGATTTCTCTGGACAGGGGAGACAGATGTGAAGGGGAAAGCTATGGTAGCATGGGAGAAAATCTGCCTCCCAAAATCTATTGGTGGATTAAATGTAACGGATATGATAATATGGAACAAGGCTGCACTTCTGAAACAATTATGGAGCATCTATAAGAAAAAAGAAAGATTATGGATCCTATGGGTCCATGAATATTATATGAAAGGGAAGATGCCATGGGAAACAAAGGTTAATCAAGCCGCTTGGATAACAAGGAAGATATTACAAGCCACTAAGTACTTGGATGAAGCTGGTCTCAATCGACTTGAGGTACTGAATGGTGAAAACTTCTCCATAAGAATGATGTATAACAAATTGAGAGGTGAATTTGACAAAGTAACTTGGAGGCGACTAGTTTGTAACAATCAAGGATGTCCAAAATGGTTGTTCATCCTATATTTGGCAGTTCAGAAAAGGTTGTACACAAAAAGACAGATTAAGCAAATTGGGGCATTATAAACTGCCAAACATGCTCGCTATGTGACTTGGAGGAAGAAAGCCACCAGCACCTGTTTTATGAATGCACATTTTCAGCAAGTATATGGCAAAAACTACTGAGCGGGAATAAATAGACAAACACAAGGCTGGGAGGCGGAAATTAGCTGGGCAGTTACACAGGCAGCAGGAAAACAAGCACAAGCAGAGATATATCGGCTTACTTTAGGAGCAGCTATATACCAAATTTGGATGGAAAGAAACTACAGAATATTTCAGAAGAAGAAGAGGAGCAGTACAGACGTTACGAGGATGATTATACAAGAAGTACATTGTAGAGGTAGTACGAAGTCAAAGTTGTATAACACATCGACTAGATTAAACTTTTATCCATAGCATAGGAATGTAACTAGAAGTGAAAGGTGATGAGATGAGTTGCTGAATTTGGGGCCATATGTCTAAATTCAGATTCTGAAAAGTGCTGTAAATATTTCTTTGGTAAATAATAAAAGTTAATTACCCCAAAAAAAAAATCTTGCATGAAAATTTTGAATATTCATGCATGAGTGAAAGTTGATTAAATCAAAGAGTGTGATAAATGCATCTATCATAAGTCTTGAAATAATTCACATGTAATGTTTGCCTCTATGTTGATGATTTGCTAATATTTGGCTCTAACATGAATGCGATTGGAGAAACTAAGAGCATGCTGAGTAGCCATTTTGACATGAAAGATTTGGATGTGGCAAATTTCACTCTTGGAATGAAAATTACTAGAACATGTGATGGAATTTTCCTCGACCAGTCACATTATGTTGAGAAAATTTTGAAAAAATATAATTTTATTGATTGTAAGCATGTTGTAACCCCTTTTGATTCAAGTGTTCACTTATTTCCTGTACAAAGCGACAATGATGTGATAAATCAAGAGGAATATGTTGGCTTAATCGAAAGCTTGAGATATGTGACTGATTGTCTAATATTGCATACGCAGCAGGAGTACTTAGCAGGTTTACAAGTAAGCCAGGTAGTGAACATTGGCATGCCATAACAAGAGTTATGAGGTATTTACTTGGTACGAAAACCTATTTTATAAAAAATATCCTGCTGTACTCGAAGGCTTTTCTGATGCAGATTGGAACACTTTATCTGGTGATTCCTGTTCTACTACAGGTTATATTTTTACTTTGGGAGGTGGTGCTATTTGTTGAAAATCAAAAAAGCAAACAATAATTGCTAACTCTACCATGGAGGCTGAGTGGAATTGCTTTAGCTTCGGCTAGTGAGGAAGCAAATTGGTTGAGAGATTTATTATTTCAAATTCCTTATTTTGAAAAATCAATTGCTTCTATTTTAATTCATTGTGATAGCACCGCTGCAATTGATAGAGTACAGAACCGTTATTACAATGGTAAATCCATACCTATAACGAGAAAACATAGTACTATGAGATCATATTTAACAAGCGGTACCATTTTGATTATGTTAAATCTTGTGATAATCTTGCAAATCTACTGACTAAGGCCTTATCAAGATAAAGGGTCTGGAGCACATCGAGGGGGATGGGATTGAAGCCCACAAGCTCATAAGTCATATATGAGGAAACCCAACCTGGGGACTAGAGATCCTATAACCAAGTTCAATGGGAAGAACGAATCATATGATGATTTGAAATGCACTGTTTTTATTATTGTTCCATCCCTATTATGTAAGTGCATTTATCCTGTAATGGTTTGCGAGGTTGAGTTTTATTAACTCTTAATGAAAATTTGTAGCTCGTATGAGTGGGGTGTTAGAGTTACAGGAGCACCCTTGACAGATTTTACTTATGTGAGTGTGGAAGTAGGCCACTTCCTTTGAGAATTAGGCTTGTTCTCAAGAACACTCATGAAAAACGGGATAACACAAGGCCGTAATGTGTTGGCTAATAAAACTCACGTCAACACCTTGATTATTATGTGTAAGCAGTGATACTTTATTTCCCTAAAGCAGTCATAGTTCAAGTCTGAGACCAGTACTGACTCTGGAGTAGAGATCGTCGTTTTACTAAGTGGAGGTTCAATGCAGAGCACACCTTCATTATGCATAATAGTCTCACTTCAACTGGTAAACTCTCTTATTTAATATTAAAATGAATGTAGCAATTGGTATTAGTGCATTTTAATATTAAAATTATAATATTAAAGTACATTATTTCTTGTGAGATAGTGGTTATAAATTGGCAAGAAAGTGGTCATTATTTTGGTGTAACTCTTAAAACCACTGGTGCCATGATCTACCACTAATTACCCACTAAATGTTAAATTTTGTAACCACCAACCATGTTCTATAACTTTATTATGCCATTACTTTGTTATTTATTTCATGGAAGAAATTCTACACCTATAAATAGTGGTGTTTCTTCCTTGTGTTTGGTGTGGGAAAAATATGGTAGAGTGTATGAAAAAAGTGAACTTGGTGTAGTGAAAAGGAGAGTTCAGAGAAGAGAAAATCTAATAGCCTGTTTGGCCAAGTTTTTTTTTGGGCCAAAAGTGCTTTTTTTGGCCAAAAGCACTTTTGGCCAAAAATTGAGGTGTTTGGCCAAGCTTTTGGAAGGAAAAAAGTGCTTTTGAGGAGACGCAGAAGCAGTTTTGGAGAAGCTGAAAAAAGTAGCTTCTCTCCAAAAGCAATTTTCCGAGAAGCACTTTTGAGAAAAGTACACTTAGAAGCAGTTTTCAAAAGCTTGGCCAAACACTAATTACTGCTCAAAAGTGCTTTTCAAATGAATTAGCCAAACACAAACTACTTCTCACCAAAAGCACTTTTTAAAAAAGCACTTTTGAGAAAAGCACTTCTCAAAATAAGCTGATTTTAGGAGCTTGGCCAAACAGGCTATAAGTCTCCAACTTATTCTCTACAAAAGAGAATATTATTTTTGTTGAAGAAAGGTGTTCATTTGGGTGGAGCTTTGGACTCAACAACTTATCCAGAGTTTGTTCGAGTCATACGACGTTGTCGGGCTGTTGTATCCTGGGGGAGACGAGTCAAGAAGATTACTGCTGGACCAGTGAAGACTTTGCTGCAGTGGGCTTGAATCTCCTTAAAGAGAGCGAGATATCCGCGCCTCAGCCTGAAGAATATTTATTTATTTTTCTTCATCTTATTTTCAACTGTAATTACTTGTAATTTCACCAACAATTGCTGTCACAAATTCTATTATCTATTTTCGTCTTCTTGAACTGAGGGTCTCTCGAAAACAGCCTCTCTACCCCTCCGGAATAGGGGTAAGATCCATCCTACCCAAATCCACACGTGAGATTTTACTGGGTTGTTGTTGTTTTTCTTATATTTCGTAATTAAAAATAAAAATACGGTGATAAATTCGCATTAAAAAGCACTTGAATAGAAGACACTGTTCCAAGATGTATACCTCTAATTCTAGCAAAACAGAACAATTTATAAGTTTTGACGAATTTAAAGAGCATTCGAAGAAATAATAATTAATATACTCCTTTCGGTCCAAAATAAGTAATTTTTTAATCTTTTTCTTGTGGTCCAAAATAAGTGATTTTTCCAGATTTCAAGAATGAATTAATTATTTTTTTCCTACATTGTCCTTGAAGTAAATGGTGTTGGAATATGTGTTAGGAGTGTTTATGTGAGATAGTAAAGGTTAATATGGTCAATTCTATTGCTAATTAATATTAAAGGTGGATTTCTTAATTTGTGTGAAAACATCAAAAAAAATCACTTATTTTAGACCGGAGGAACTATCATGAATTAAAATTTAGTAATAAATAATTCGTATGTTACAATCCCTAAATCAAACCAGCATTGAGTAATGACAACAAGTCCAAAAGAGATCCCATCCGATAGATAACTTTTTAATCATTGATCCTAACATTTTGTTGGAAATGACTTTTCGTTGTCTGAAAGGTGAAAAAAGACACAATAAAGGATTAGAATTCAAAAACAGAGGCCTATTAGTCAGTAATCAATCCAAAAATTATTCAGTAATTACACAACTAAGCAAACCCCTCATTTCATTTTTTCCAACTCTCAACGCTCCCATTGATCACCATTTGAAAAAGCTTTATTAATCACTCTTTTTCTTTATCCTCATCAAAAACCTCCCAACCCCACATAGAAAGGTGTGCCTTTACTATAATTAGTAGAGTATATATAAAAATTTATTGCTATAAAGAATGATTATATATCAAGGTATAGTAGCAGTTGCAATGGCGAGAAATCCTTCTTTAATCAGAGCAGAACAGCCTATGGCTTCAGATCTCTCTTCAACCGACTGCACGGCTCTCCGTGGCGGCGCTTCCCTTCACCGCCGCCGTGACCTCGTCTTCGTCGTTAATCCCCGAGGTTTTGTTTCTTTCTTAAAATTTTGTCTTTGTTGTTTCTTCGAATTAAGGTGTTGAATGACGTGCTTTTTTATTTTTATATTGGAATGAAATGAACTGAATTAATATAAAGGAATTAAATAGAAGCATTTGGGGATTACTGTTTTGATTTTATTGGAGCAGGAGCTAATGGAACAACGGTTCAGCAATGGAAGAAGCTACTTCCTTACCTAAGGTCTCGCTTGGGTGATGACTGTAATGTGAGTTTTTCTAACTTATGTTTTTTCCTTGCTTTTCTTTTCGATGTTAAAGTTTCTAACTTCGGTAGAAAGTAGAACTTGTAATGTTTATTTTCTTGTTTTTATGAAAGTATTGTGTTTTCCTATGAATTTGATTTTTTGTTTAAATATGTTAGGGCAATTTTTTTCAGAAGGTACAACTGTAATTGCTCACAAAAGCATACCTTTTCTTTATTTTCTACCCTTTTTTTGAAAG